TTCTGTAATCACAGTGAAAAAATCTGTAACAAACTGATCTGATTGGTGGAAAAACATTGTGATGATTAAATCAACCAATCAGTTTAAAGCAGTTTAGTTTTAAAGAAGTAACGGTCACAGATTGCTTCAAAACAAAACAAACATGGCGCCGCGCTACACAAAGTAAAAGTTACCTTCGCGTGGAAAATATGGCTTTTATCTTTATTTTTAAATGGAAAAGCATTTATCTTAAACAAGACTAACAAGAAATACACAGTTGAGTGGAATTTTCAAGCTGTTAGCGTTGTATATCAAGCTGTTGTTGTTGCAAAAATCTTTCATTTTACAAAAAATAAAAAAATCTATAATGCCCAAAAAAGTTATTGAAAAAACATAATTTTTGCATTTTTAAGGAAAATGGCATTAAAGATTTTTTTGATTTTTTGTGTAATGATAGCTTGTTTCCTTAGTAAAAGAATGCGAGTAAAAAAAGTTGGGATCAAGTATGTGATAAAACAAAGCCAGGAAATCTTTGGGGGGGGGGGGGGGGGTGTGGACATTAAATGGAATGGCCCTAAGTTAAAACTACAATTGTCTCGAACATTTTTATGTAAATTATTAATAAGTAATAGCATGGTTTCTCGTGAAATTTGGATAAACATACACTCGTGAGTTTTTCAAAGACCTCAAGTAGCACTCGTCCTTCGGACTCGTGCTATTTTGAGGTCTTTGAAAAACTCACTTGTGCATGTTATATCCAAATTGCACTCGAAACCATGCTATTACCTATACTTACATTTTTTTATTTACACTTTGTTTTGTCTAAATGCTACTATATATAACTTCCCGACGAAGGGTTTTCGCTCGAAACGTCGAATTTTTCCATGTATTTTTCAGGTAACTATCTTTCCCTAGTCAACATGAGCTCCACCTTTGAATTTACTATATGGGTAAATTCCATAGATATCTTATATTAATACACTAGATAGCGCATCTCTTTTAATAAATTTGAAGCCAAGAATATTCCAGCGGTTACCCCCATTTGAATAGATGGCGGCCATGTTGGTCGTTCCCACTTGCTAATAAACGCTTAAAAATACCAATAACTTTCATCATTTGACTAGTTTAAAAACGTATTTGGAATGGGGTTAACTTAATGTTTAAGTTCCCTGTTTAGGAAATAGAAAACATACGAATCTTAAATTCTTAAACACATCCGAATTTATCATTATGATAAATTCGGGGCACATTTTATATGAAAGCGTGTACTTTTTCATTTGATTTATGTTGCAGAGATGGGCCGGGGAGTCAAGTAATAATAAGTGCTTTATAAAAATAATAATTTGATTATTTCTCCCTGAATCTTGGATAAAAAAGTCAGTACCTGTGTTGATCACCTGTGACTGACAATTAGACCAAACGTCGCAAAGCTCCATAAAACCTAATAGCTTAAGAACATAATTTGATTATTTGAAGGTTCCCCCCAGATTATTTAATTACTCCATATCCCTCCCCACCCCACCTACAAACAGAGGCTAGCAGTTGACCACTCACTCTCTTATATGCTGTTTCTAGAATCGTTGAAAGCTGGGATGGCGGCTCTAAGTAGTAGTACATCGTGTACCTTTCCCGGCGGTGGTGAATTTTCGTTCAACATCGCTACTGACAATGTGGAAGTAGCACAAGACGTGCTCAAAACTGTGCAAGTAGTGGGCAAAGCTGTAGTTACACTAGGTGCACTTTACTTTGGTTATAAATTATTAAAACCAGTAATCGAGAGTGCGGTTACAAGAGGTCTTGGTGGTGAACGAGATGATCAAGACGTTCGAGGTATCCGACCAGGATCTTTGCGTGTTCAATTATATTGTTCTACAGACCAAAGATTTCTGGAAGTCTTGGCAGATTATAAATCTGGAAGGATGAAAGAACGCTTGCACAAAGAATTTTTGCAGGTTGGAATTAAAGTAAAAGGACTAAAGATGGAGATTGAAAATATGGTATAAAGGTGAACGAAACAAAGCAAGCCATAAGCAAGAGGTATGATACATGTTTTACGAAAAATATATCTCGTGCTGTGCTTGGTCTTGAATTTCAGTGAAAGACTTGCCCCCCCCCCCACCAATCCGTTTTTAGCCATTTTTCCCTAGTTACACTCCTGCTTGAGAAACAGCAACTTGATAACATCCCAATGTTTGGCCTGTGTTCCAGTTGAAGTGTGTGCACTGTGCAATAATTTAAAATTTCTCGTCTAACGTTGATAAAATTTTTGCATGACTCAGTTGATGTGTAAATTCGTACTTTACGCAAATTTATTTTAAGCATGCATGCATGCATGGCCACCGAAGGCGTTGAATCAGTGGATTCAGCGGTGGAGCACATGAATAAAAGATAATATTATTAAAAGGGTTTTGATTTCATAAAGCATTCGTTTAAGGTTTTGGTGAGCTGAACAATGATCAAATCGCATTGATAAAGGCTAATTATTTTGCAACGTCATATATTCTTTGACGCCCCAACGAGTTATGCAAAAATTCGTATACTTCTGTGGATTTATACTGTATGTGATAGTATCCACTTTACGAACAAACAATTGCAATTTCAACACCGATTGTCATCTTGCAATAGCCTTAATTTTGTGTGTTATTGATCTGGCTTGTTCCTGTACACTTTGACACACATATTGCGTCGCAAAGCGTCACTATGTGTCTTAGCTGTTAAAAAAGGCAATTGAACTGTATTACGTCAATGGATATAAATTCGCTCGAGTCAACAACAGAATCGAAATCCGATTCTAATCACATCCTTATCCCTAATGAAACATAAGGATATAACACAGAGCGTAATTAATAAAATACTATCAGTAAAAAGAGTGTCTTTTGTACTTGAACAGGAGAAAATCGGGCAAGAGCCTTGAATGACAAAAAAGATCGAGCAGCATCAGGAGGTTAAAAAAGTAACTGGGTCAATGAAAACATATCCCTCCCCCCATCAAAAATCAAATGGTTCGCGCCCTTAAAAATGGTGTAAATGTGTAATAATAAAAACGTTTACAAACATCTTAATATTGTTTTTATGCAGATATCATGTCAACAAAGATCTTTGCGAGGACGTGAAAAATGTTGTTATAGCATATGCAAAAAGCAACGTAGATAAACATGTGCAGGTAAGTTTGGTTTTTGTTTCCAACAAATTAAAACCAATTTCTGCTATCCCCCATGCACTTATTAGTGTACTTTAGACTAGAGATGTGCATTGGATCGGATTGGACGTTTATAATCCGACAATTGGCTAATGTTTAAAATCCAATCCGATCCGAAATTGTCCTAGTAATCTGAATCTGATCCAATCCGAGTTTGATAAAGAATTCCGATCCGAAGAATCCTTTAATAAAATAAATTTCTCATTCAAGTGGAATATTTAACGAAATAAATATAAAAGCAAGAAATACATGTCAAGAAGCTGACAAAGTGACGTCCAATTGAAGTCCAATCCGATCCCACATTCCCACTCCATTAACTCTGATCCGACTACGAAACAACTTTATCAATCAATCCGATATGGATATTTTTGTTCCGAAATCCGAACGAATCCGATCGGATTTGTACACCTCTACTTTGACGGTTCGTGTGAGCCTTTTGACAAGTTCAGACTATTAAAGTAAAACAAAGAGAAATTACAGAAGACAGTAGAGGTGTACAAATCCGATCCGATCGGATTCGTTCGCATTTCGGAACAAAGATATTCATTTCGGATTGGATCGGATTGATAAAGTTGTTTCGTAGTCGGATCGGATTTCGATATTCGAAATTAATCAATTAATTATCCACGACAACGCGGTTGTCGCTGCATTATTCGTTTGATAATTCAATTGGACATCACTTTGTCAGCTTTTTGACACGTATTTCGCGCTTTTATATTTGAGTATTTGGTTAAATATTTCCACTTGAATAAGAAATTTATCAGTTATTAAAGAATTCTTCGGAGCGGATCGGATTAGACAATTTCGGATCGGATTGGATTTTGAGCATTAGCCAATTGTCGGATTATAAACGTCCAATCCGATCCGATGCACACACCTAGAAGACAGTGACCTGGTAAACAACTATGCAAACAGAGAGGATATCTACACTTGAATTAATGCTTCCAAGTTTCAGTTTAAAATTTTTGAGTTGAATTATTTCCAAGATATCGCCCATAAGAGTTTATGCAACCATTGCAAGCAGAAACCAGTGACATAGACTTTCGCAGCCTTTTTTAAATGACATCATTTTTACTTCGCCTCAAGCTATCTTTATTCGCACACGTGTAGAAATTTTAAGGTTGACTTGTGACCATTCCACTAGTATTGCAATTTTATTGCAATTTCATTGCCCTATACATGCCAAATTTGGTCATTTGGGTCACGCATTTCATTGGGGGAGGGGGGAGGACACGGTTCTGTTCGCATGCATTAGAAAACGCGACGTGACGACGTGAAAATGACGTATATGCACCTCGCGTTCACTTTCCAGTTCTAATCTGGGACGGCATGTTTGTCTTTTTCGAAGCAAGTTTTTATTTTCTTGTCGCCGCTCTTTCTTGTATTGCTTTCAATCAGTTGTCAAGATATGTGCAAGAAAAAGCTATATAATACTGGCGAAGCGTTTCCTGATGAATTTGTATGAACATTTAGTAAGTTTTTTTTTAAAAAAGCCGTATAATTCATATGTCTCAAAAAGGTGTTTAATTTTTAAAAACAACTATAATATGGCTTTAAAACCTCTACGAATTACAATTCGTATTGTATGAAGTACATCTTACCCTGATCTTACACAGTGCGCATAGCGTTGAAAACAACTTTTCAAAATAATTTTACAACTTACTTTTCAAAATAATTTTAGTGGTAAAGATACTTGCAGACCCCAAACTACCCATGCTTGGATAAAATTTTCACAAATGTTTCAGACATTTTTTAACTGTATTTTGAACATTTTTCATTTGTATTTAGTCCAGCAGATCGGAGAAGAAGTTGCCTAGTACGTCGTCCTTTGAAATTGATGTCGACAGCGCTACACATTCAACATCGCCGCAAGAAGGTTAGTTGTGTAGTTTACAATACAATACAATACAATACAATACAATACAATACAATACAATACAATACAATACAATACAATACAATACAATACAATACAATACAATACAATACAATACAATACAATACAATAAAATTTATTTATCCACGGTGGAATCTTCAGTATATATATATAGTTTGTGTTGGTGGTGTTATTAAATTAAATGCACGGGTGACAATTGCGATTATAGTAAGTAAACATTTCGGAGTGACTGTTGAATTTCTTGCATTCTGATTGGTCGGAATTCAGCATGTTTGACCTTATAGTTACTGGCCAGTCCAGTAACTACAGCATTTTTTAAAATGGTTTCTTCATAGGCTGCCCAGCAAATACATTGTTATCCTCAAACTAAATAGTTTTAAAATATTATATTTACTCAACGTTTTGCTATAATTTTTTCAACCATGTTTCGCTACTCTGGTTTAAGATATTGATGTACATCGTAGGTTCACAGAAAGTTAGAATTTGCGATGCAGCGCCTCGATACACCAGTCGGTGACTTCATAGGTGGTGATACCATGTAATAGTGCACCTTGTTGGCAGATCACGTCTTCATGCCTCGAGATTCACGTTGGATTTTATCCCCCTTGTTATAAAACGAATGGATTCTCCAAACATTTGCCTCGTTAATAGTTCTATATATTTTATTAAATTATACTTGGGCAGCAAAAAGCTTTCTTTTTTAACCAATTTTTTATCGCATTTAAATACGTATAATAAAACTATTTAATGGTGAAAATCGTAGACTAAAAATGATTGAAAGTATTTGCTTTTTTACAGAATCAATTATGAAACCGCTGCCACGTGATGAGAGAGCTTTATTTCAGGAAGCCTATTCCTTGGGTTTGATTGGACAGAACCCTGATTTACCGCGAGCAAAGCTCATAGATCACATTAAAAGTTCGAAGATGATTGGACGAAGCATAAATCATGTCTCAATTCTGTTAGTTGGCTTGTCTGGCGTTGGCAAATCGGCCACAATTAATCATCTCTTGCGCACAAAGGATGAAATTGCAAAAACAAGTTATTTTGAGACAGGAACAAGATCCACTCAAGAGTTCATTGTCTACGGTAGTGCACCACGATATGAAGTTGAAGGACTTCCACTAGGAGTAGTTGACACTCCAGGATTTGGTGACACTGACGGTTTATACCAAGATGCATGCAACTTTTTTTCTATACAGGAGTTTTTTCATACACATCCGAAACTGACAGGACATTACCCAAACTTGATTTTTGTAATTGTAAAGGCAAATGATAATCGGTTCAGCGAATTCGTGAAATGGTTGGAACACATCAAACTACAAAACTTAGTTGATCGTAACAATCCAAATGTTGTGGCTGTTATAACCCATGTATGCAAAATTCCAAATAGAAAGGTCGACAAATGGTCTAAAATAATGGAAACAAAAAAGACTACTGTTAAAAGAATCATATTTGATGCTTTAAAGGTGACTGCCCCAGTGGTTCTGCTGGAAAACATGTACGGGAAAGAGGGCTACGATCTAGACGTTGTTGGTGATTACACGCGTCTTCCAAATGGAGTATTGCAGCCTAAAAATTTGTATGAGGCTTGTGCAGATGTCCTGAAGAACAATAATGATAATCTTGGTCTCATTACTTTAAATAGTATCTTTGCACCATCCACGAAGGTTCCTCCTCCAAAACGCGGGCACAAGATCGAAGCAAAGAACGTGAAAAGTCAATTGTAATATTGTAAACCTGACGATGAAAAAAGCGCGTTTGTTGATGTATAATGGAAAGTGCAGCCAGAGGAGGTACGTACAAGTGTTGATCTTATCTTTTACCATATTTATATATATAGTCTAATTCTATACGGTTTCTTCATATACTTCTTTATACTTTACGGTTTCTTTATGTACCGGTAGCTATATATATTGCAGTCTTAAATCCGTCTGACCGTGTAGCCAGGGCCGTAGCGAAGAGGGGTATTGGGGGAGGGGGGGGGGGATGGTTAACCCCCCCAACATTTTTAGAATTAACCTATTCGGAAAATCAGGTTGGTCATTCGGAAAATTACGGCAGTAATAGTATAACAAAATTTTAGTTGTTTAATTAAACAGAGAAAATATTATAAAATTGTATTGTCAGTATCATAAACTGATTTACAAAATCACGGCATTTACATGGATAACATTTAACAAATCGTAGATCGGTAAATGTTTTTCGGTTTATTACTTCCCAGGGCCGTAGCAACGGGTGGGGGGAGGGGGCAGTCCTCAATATATCTTTAAAATACTGACAATTGATTAATTTTAAGCGGCTACATTACCCATGACAAACCGCAAAGAATCATATTACCCATATACGCCTTCGCCCATTTAGTTCTTCTAAATTGTAAGCAAATTAATTGTAAATTTCGACGTGCTAAAACTCTGTTTTCCGACCATCAGAATTCTGTCAAAACTTCCCCCAAAATCCACGAAATGGCATTTCAGAGACTCTAAATTTAAAAATTTCCTCGGGCCTTCGGCCCTCGCCAGCCCCTTATAAAAAAGAATTTCCTACAGAACTGCACGCTTCTGTAACATGTCTGTGCGTAAAATATGAGTATTTTGTTTGTAAATTGCGTTTTCATTTTCCGGATAGCAAAACACCTTCGTGGCTTCGTATGCCATGAAATATTCGGAAATTTCTTTCGTCATTCGGAAATTTTTGGCCTACACCCCAACTATGCATGCTTAGCTACGGCCCTGCGTGTAGCTCAGTTGGTAGAGCGTTGATCTATAGTAATTCGAAGGTCGCGGGTTCAAAATCCAGCCGCTGCGGCCAATATCTTTCTGCTTGCGCGCGGTCTGGAAATTATGAAATACTCACTCGAGAAAATTTTCAACTTATATATAGAGGATATTACACGGCGGCGCGAAGATATGACTTTCATCTTCGAGTGGTGAAAGCAATATTTTACGAACGAGCGCAGCGAGTGAGTAAATTATTGCTTTTAACACGATAAATATATTTATTATAAGGACAATGTTGTGTTATATTGGAAACTAAAACACTCGTAGAACTCATACGTCACCATGCACAAACGGGACCTGAAGGGATTAAGCTGATATTAAATATTTCGTTCTGGAATGTGAATGATCCTTTTACGAAGACATTATAGGAAACTTAATTCTTCCAAAAACGTTTTTGTATTCGCTGACCATACAACTAACGTTTATGAGACTGATCCGGAATCTTATAAAAAAAGTACTGAGAAAACATTACAAAAACTTATAAAATTGGTAATACAGTGTAGTAACATGCCAACATAACAGATGATATCAATTAACGAGGAGCTTCGGGACATTACTAAAAAATACTTCATGTAAACGTATTACATAGCTTTCGAAAAACTAAAATCACCATTTTTTAAAAGTAAAAAGTTATAGAGAGTTTTTACACTGAACTCGGACGGATTTTGGAAAAATAAAGAAAAATTTGGAGATCGGGACTTTTATCAGATCGGGCGGGGATGCTAAACAAATAATTTTTTATGTGGCCTAATTGAAATTATTTACTTTTTTACAAAATCAGTTGTGCCAATTATGAAACCGTTGCCGCGTGATAAAGAAACTTTATTGGTGGAAGCCCATTCCTTGGGTTTGTTTGGACCGAACCCTGATTTAAAAAAACCGAGAGCAAAGCTCGTAGAGTACATCAACAGTTCAGGGGTTACTGGACGAAGCATGAATCATGTCTCAATTCTGTTAGTTGGCTTGACTGGCGGTGGCAAATCGTGTACAATTAATCATCTCTTGAACACAAAGGATGAAATTGCAAAAACGAATGATTCCGAGTCAGAAACAAGATCCACTCAAGAGTTCATTGTCTACGGCAGTGCACCACAATTTGAAGTTGAAGAACTTCCACTAGGAATAGTTGACACTCCAGGATTTTGTGACACTGACGGTACCTACCAAGATGCGTGCAACATTTTTTCTATACAGGATTTTTTTCGTACACATCCAAAGCTGACAGGACATTACCCAAACTTGATTTTTGTGGTTCTGAAGGCAAATGATAATCGGCTCAAAGGAGAAAACAGCCGCCTTACGAAATCGTTGAGATGCGTCAAACTACTTAAGTTAGTTGATCCTATCAATCCAAATGTTGTGGCTGTTATAACCCATGCATGCGAAGGCCCACATGCATTTAGGAATGTCGACAGATGGCGTGAAAAAATGGAAACGATAAAGACTACTGTTGAAACAATCATATCTGAAGCTTTGAAGGTGACTGCCCCAGTGGTCGTGGTGGAAAACAAGTACGGGAAAGAGGACTACGGCCTAGAAGTTGTTGGTGATTACACGCGTCTTCCAAATAAAGTATTGCAGCCTAAAAATTTGTATGATGCTTGTGCAAATGTCTTGAAGAACAATAATGATAATCTTGGTCTCATTACATTAAATAGTATCTTTGCATCATCCACGAAGGTTCCTCCTCCAAAACCTGGGCACAAGGTTGAAGCAAAGAACGCGACAAGTTGTAAACTTGACGATGAAGAAAGAAAGTTTGTTGATGTATTGGAAAGGACGTCCAGAGGAGGTAATGCTCAAGTATTAGATTATACATATAGATTACATATACAGATTATTTTAAATAATATATATTGCTTAAGAGTAATTTGTTTCTGCATCTTTCTTTGTCTGCATCACTCCTTGAATTTAAAGAACAAAGTTTAGGGTTGTAGATTATAATGAATTTTTCACAGCCTCGTACCCAGGCGCTTTGGTTTGTTTACGTCATTAAGCGCACGTGGAACGGCACGCGAGGGAAATCGATCCAATTAATCCATGCGGCCCACGCAAAGGCCGCGCAAGCCCAGAACATCACATAGCGCCTGGGTACGAGGCTGAATTTTTCATAAAATAGTGTGACATTTATATCTTGTTTTGAACTCTCTTCTGTGTGTCCGCAGGGCTGCCGAGAGCTTGTCGGGGGCCTGGGGCAAACTTTTTTTAGTGGCCCCTATTCAATGACCTCAACTTTTTAGGGAAAAACTTTTCAGGACGAGTACGCTTTAATTGCTTCTGTGGCACTTTCCCCAAATTTTTCAGTACCATTTCGCCCGAAAAACAGAAATATTCGCCCAAAAAAATGACTGCATGGGGTCCCACAAAATATTTCTAGGGGCCCCAGAACGTAAGGACCCGAGGCATTTTGCCCCCCCCCCCCTTCTGCCCTCTCGGCGGGCCTGTGTGTCCGACATACGATTCCTTTTTGTTTATATATCGTTCCTAACAACCATTGCTTGGTATTCTATATGCGCTGGGTGTTAGGCATTTACCGGGCAGTGGACATGAGGGCTTATATATTCCTGCAATTGCATTGCTTTGGTTTCGTGCTGCATGTTGACGCATCTGTTGAGGTGCGATTTATTGTGTCCAGAAATTATATTACGGATGTTGGACATGCAACTGTATATAACTTAGCTTCAAGTCTTTCTGTTGAATATCTTATGGAGGACTTTGTGTCCGATATTCGTTTTGACATTGGAGTTATATATGGTGGATTAAACCTTATAACGTGTCTGTTTTTAATGCGTTTTGTCTTTGTTTGCTGGGGGTTGTATTTTAACTTGTAGTTGTAACCACTCTTATGTAAGGCATAATTGGTATGGTGGACAAGCTGAATCAAATTGTTGTTTGTCAGACGAGATGTTGGACAATTGATTATTTGTTGCATCGGGGATTGCCTTTAAAACCGCGGGTGCATGGTGGTTGACACATTTTCTGTTGGCTTTGATTGTAATCTTTAGATTGTGTTCATTAAAACTTCTGCCAATATCATGTTTCCTTTCTGCTGAAAAGAACTGATTTCTTCGCCTGCATTATTACGTGCTTTCCCTCAATCGTGATGGTGTTGAACTGAAAAGCAAAGGTTAAATTAAGAAGCTGCTCTTTGATAATAGATGCACGAGATGCATATATATATATATATTTAAAAAACTCACTAATAATTCAATTCTTTGATAATAGATGCATATATATATATATTTAAAAAAACTCATTAATAATTCAGGAGCAAAACACATGCAAAGAAAAATCATAAGCGTGTCGTGGTTATATATATGTGATAAAAAATCATGTTAATTTACATAAACTTTAGCTTTGATTTTCTCGGTTTAGACAAAGTTTATTTTAAATATTACTTCACTAATGTACTCATCAGAAGATGGGTCGTTTTTTAAGCCATTTAAAGCACTTGTAGTCGTGTTTTATCACATATAAAACACTCCGCTACGCGTCGTGTTTTATATGTGTGATAAATAGTACATATATATATATATATATATATATATATATATATATATATATATATATATATATATATATATATATATATATATATATATATATATATATATATATATATATATATAGA